ATCTGAAAAGAGATTGGCTTAAGACACAGTCTAATCTTGTAAATCTCATCAACATAACCGCTGCTAATCCATCTCATTAACATTATAGTAATAGGATTTACAACACATAGGAAAATCACATCAGATGTCAAAATGGTGGATAATCACACAATACTGGGAATCATGGCATAGCCAAATTGATACACGTATTTTTGGGGAACACAATTCAATCCATGACATGGAGAAAATATTGAAATTGTCAAGGACTTCATTTTACTTTGACCCACAATCAATGCCCATGGAAGCAGCAGTCAGGCTATCAAATGACGTATTGCATTGGGCAAATCTGCTGCAAAAGACCTCTTTAAAGTGTTGAAAAGCAAAGATGTCACTTTGAGGAGTAAGACGTGCCTGATGCAAGCCATGGTATTTTTAATCACCTGATATGCATGTGAAAGCTGGACAATAAATAAGGAAGACCAAAGAAGAATTGATGTTTTTGAATTATAGTGTTGGTGAAGAATATTGAATATACCATGGACTGCCAAAAGAACGAAGAAATCCATTTTTTGGAAGAAGTACAGCGGGAATGCTCCTCGGAAGCGAGGATGGTGAGACTTTGTCTCCCGGACTTTGGAAATGTTATCAGGAGGGATCATTCCCTGGAGAAGGCCATCATGCTTGGTAACATCAGTGAAAAAGAGTAAGACCCTTAACGAGATGGCCTGACACAATGGCTGCAATGATGGGCTCAAGCATAACAATGATTGTGAGGATGGCACAGGACTGGGCAGTGTTCTGTTGTACATAGGGTTGCTATGAGTGGGAACCGACTCGAAGTCACCTAACTACCACCACCCCTTTTGTGAGAGGATACATGGGGACATATGAAGGTGTGGTGTTGGCGAGAGGGGGCAGAAGAGACTCTTTAATGATGAGAAGCAAGAACGAAGGGAAAGTAAAACCCCGTAGGCTCTCCACATTCCCCCCCACCCACACCACTGGTCTTTGCAATTATAGGAGATTTTATTGTTTCCCCCCCGTACCTGGGCCTTTTCCTGTTCTTCAATAAATGTCCAAGAAGGTTGGAATCTGAAAATAAATGGATCCTATTACATTCTATAGATATGGAAAGACTTGTTATTAGTACCTATGTGCAGATTTTGCCTATCACTACATTGCGGGAGTATAAGAGAAAAAACAGAAGGAAATAGTAGGAAGGAGGTTTGTTTTGTTTTGATACCCATTTTCCCCTGGTTACTGGAGGGGAAAACTGTTAGCAAATCCCAGTAGCTATTCAATTAATTTAGGGACAGGAGACCGGAGAAAGTGGTGAGAATTTGTTCTATTCCATACCACTGTATTCCTGTCTACTCAACACAGGGTCTTAACATCTGGTGAGTGAACTATTGGTGCAAGGAGAAGAGTAACTTTATTAAACACTGTGGAGACTGAAGGAGGCAGATCTTCAGAAAGGGGGATAGACTACAGGCTGAGTAGGACCTACCTCGGAGTCCTTACTCCTCAGAGCCTCTCACTCCATTAGCCCCCTGGTCTGCCTGGGAACCCTGTCACCAAGATTATTACTTCTGTGGGGAAATGGATCCTGAGTACTAATCAACTAACTTAAAAATTTTGGGAACACAAGGTGTTTTTAAGTTGGGAGAATGCCTTTTTATACTATTAATTATGGGGAAGGAATGTAAGGTAAAATTACTAGTAATAGCTAAACATTAATAGTAATGGCTAAAATTGATAGTAATAGCCTGAGGTTGCCTATTTTTTACACTACTCCATTTCCCATTATATATTAAGCTTTTTGTGTAGCCCCAGAAAATTTTGAGAAAGAATTAATCTAAATTGTCTAGTACCCCATGAGTTAGTGGTCCTAAGCTGTGGCTGTGTTCCTGATTGCTGCCAGGTGTTAATACTGGCTAGCTCATAGCAACATATACCGTGACACAGCAAGTAACTGAAGTAGACTCTAATTAATGTGGGTTTTGACCTCTTCCAAGTTTTATCCCAGAAAAAACATACCTAAAATGGCACATTTTGAAGGATTTTTGACATAAGGAGAATAGGTACTGTGGCAGATTGTATTGTCCTTAATGAGTTCAACAATAGCTTTCACTCCTCATCTTCTTACAATGTAACGTTGACACTCTTTCCATTGTGAGGTGTGGTTTATTTATGTCCCCTCTTCTTAACGTGGTAGTTTTGTGACTATTTCAACAAAAAACAGTTCAGTGCAACTGATGTGATGTGACTTCTGAGGTTAGGTCATACAAATCAATGCAACTCCTGCCTTGTCCTCTTGGGACTCTTGGAATGCTCGTTTTTGGAATGTAGCTGCCATCTTCTGAAGAAGCCAACCAGCAATGTGGAGAGGCTACGTATAGGTATTCCAGCTGACAGTCCCAGCTGAGGGCTCAGACAATAGCCAGTATCAACCACCAGATGTGTGAGGGAACAAGCCTTTGGATTCCAGACCCCGGGTGCTCTTGCAGTTGCCCCAGCTGACTCCACGTGGAGCAGACACAGCTGTCCCACTGAACCGTGCTTGAAATGCAGATTAGTGAGCAAAAGAAATGACTGCTGTTGCTTAAATCACTAAGTGTGTGATAGTTTGCTATGCAACACTAGATGACCACAGCAGGTATAAGGAACATTCCAGTAGACACATAACATGTATTTAAATCATGACCAATCTCCTAAATCACATATTAATCTAAAATTCTCTTGACTCAGTGCTATAATCAGTGAAGAATTTCATATAGCAATATACATAAGAATTACGCCACCCAATTCCTGCCCTTGGTCATATATTTTCACAAATCTCTCATTCTGAGAATCATGGCGATCTCAGCTGATTATCCCATGTTTCTACTAATTCTACACCCTAACACCAATTTAAGGACTGGAGGAAAGAATTTACTGGTATCTTTTCAGAGACATTTCTTTTGAAAGATGTTTCTTGCTTTTTAAGCACTGTTTACACCTGCAAAATTGACTCTTTTTCCCACACCTTTACCTCAATCCTTCTTAGTAGTTTTGGAGGTCAGGGGTAAGGGTAGGTATAGGGGTATTTTCACAACGTTACCAAACAACTCCATTTACATACACTCTTCCTCAACCCTTACCTGGTTAAAGGAGTGTGCTGTTTGGACGCCCAGAACTAATTGTAACCACTGGAAATGACATATTAATTTGAAAATACAATAGTGCAATTAGTAATTTTTCCCTTCCTTATTTTTGATGTCCAAAATGTTTAAAATAACTGACTGGTTCCATAGAGTATTATTACATGCAGATATTGTGAGACTCCACAGATATTCAAGACATAGATTCGGACCTTTCCTAGCAGAGCAAATAAGGAGGGCTACCAGTGAAAGCAAAGTAGCCATATCGTAGTAGGATCATCCTTGGGAAAAGCAATAAATAGTTGCAATTTTAATCATCTCTGAAGAGTTATTGTCGAGGGGACCTAGTCATACCAGTCAATACGTCAAAGCCTTCTACCATGTCCTTCACTTATTAAAAAGAAACCAGTTTTCATAAAGTCACACCTAGAAACCTTTCCTTGTTTTCCCCCGTTCTCCAAATCCTCTCTCTGCATGCCGTACACTTTCCTTTCTCCCATTTAGCGTCTCTTCCTTCACCGTTTCTTCTCGTAGACTTGGTTATCCCAGTTTCCCAACCCTTTCCATCAGCCCTCAGGCAGTTGCTCCCTCCTCCAAACACTTCACCGCTCCAAGTAATCCGCCTGGCCCGGGTTATGTTGTATACATTTTAGAAATCAGACTCATAAAAAGGCCCAGAAGACCCTGCACTGGCTTCCTAAATTCCATCTCCCTTAAATGCTTAAGCTATATCCGAGGCCTGACTGGGGAGCCGGGAAGACTGGGCTCCCTGCCCAGGTGACAGCGACGCGTAATTATAGCCTGTCGGCAGCGCCTGCTGACGAGATAACGAGCAGTAACGGCACAAGCGGATCAGCCGAAGCCCGGGAGGAGCCGCGAGCGCGTTCACGGCAGCCACACTCGGGTCTTTGGCACCTCCCACGCTCCCCGCGGAGGCAGCCACGCTCGGCGGGGCCAAGATGGCGGGCTCGTCGTGGGGGCGGGGCCCCGCGCGTCACGTGATCTCCTCGCCGGCCGCGCGCCCCCCCCGGCGTCCGAGGCTGGCGCCCGTGGCCCCGCGGCCGCAGCCCCTTCCCTGCTAGGGGCGTCTTCCTCTGACCCCGCACAGCCGCGAAGCGCTCTCCCGGCGGCGGAGAGCCCGAGCCGGGCCAGCAAAGCAGGCGTCAGGCAGTGCACAGGCAGAGGGGCTGCGGAGCGGGAACCGCTGCAGCCGGCGCCGAGGCGGGAGGTCGGAGCCCGTCCCGGCAGACGGCCAGGCAGGGAGAACGAGGCTGTGGGGGAGATTCGGGGGATGCCGCCCGGGCCATGGGCGCCGTCGAGGACTCGGGGGTCCCCTCCGGGCTCCGACCACCTGGCTTGGGCATTTCACGGGTTTCCGGTTGCCATCCAGTCTCGCAGCCAGCAGGACTGAAAAATAGCTTCTGCCAAATGTTCTCTCCCCTCTAAGGAGAGAGCTGAGCCGGTCAGCCCGAGGGGACTCGAGAGGGATGCCCTGTCCCGCTGGGGGCGGAAAGAGCAGGGGCTGAAGGGGCGGCGGCAGCGGAGAGCCCCCTTCTTGACCATCCAATGCCTCCCTCTGGGTTTGCGTGCCTGCTGAGTGGGCTTGGTCGCGCTGACCCCCGGGAGGCGGGACAGACGACGCTGGCTGGGCTGTGACCGTGCCGCCTTCACGTGGCCGCTGACTGGGACCTCAGAGGGCCCCGGCATGGGGCGCAGCCTCCCCTCGCTCCCTCCCCGCCTCCCAGGCGTCGGGGTTGGCGATGTGGAGACGTGAGGGACCCGCCGGCTGCCCCGCCCTCAGCAGAACTCCACCAGGCACCAGAGGCTCGGCGCGGGGCTCCGGGGCGGGCGGGCAGCGAGCGGAGCCGGAGCCCCAGCCTCGCCATGGGGCATAACGGGAGCTGGGTCTTCCGGAACGCCAGCCAGCCGCGCAACGCGTCGGGCGCGGAGGCGGCGGGCGCCAACCGCAGCGCGCTCGGGGAGTTTGGCGAGGCGCAGCTGTACCGGCACTTCACCACCACCGTGCAGATCGTTATCTTCTTCGGCTCGCTGCTCGGTAAGCCACCCGCGGGGACGCCTCCCGGACGGGGATGCCCGAGGACACGGGGTCGTGAGAGCGGCGACTGGGGTCGCCGGAGCCGCCGTGGGTTTCGGTGAGCTTGGCAAAGTGCGGGTAGTTGAAGGAGGCTTATCAATCCTGGGATAAATGCAGTGAAGTTTAGGCAGGACAGTCGACTCCATCTCCTAAGCTAGAGGCAGAAGAATTCCGATAGGACTTTCTGTTGGCTCGAGGGTGGGTGCCTGGTCCAGGCGGAGAGCAGCCTCCGCAGGTGGACCTTGCGGAACGCTTCGGGACGGGCGCAGGGTTGTGCACAGTACTGGGTACCTCCCGGGTGCCAGGTTGGAGCGCTGGCCCGAGCCCTTGTTTACAAATAGCGAGGAACAAAGCTTCTGTGGGAATTCGTTGCTGATGACTGAAATGAGTGTTACCCGCTCTGTTAAATACGTGTTTTGCGCTCCCATCTATTCTCTACATAAAAATGATTTTGAAAAAAGCCCTATTTGGTGTGTATTTTATGGCTTCCTTCTTCAGAACACCGACCTGCTGGTAAACAACCCGGTGAAGTTAAACTCTGTGTTGGCTTCAGATATTTTTAAAATCCGAACACAAAGCAAAACCCACTCTACTTCAGCTGTGTTTTGTATGAAGTACAGAATAAAGACGGGATTAAAACGTACACACATACACGCATACACACATTCAGCTGAATTTGCGGTTCAGGGAAGAAAAGATCAACGAACTGAAATGAGAGACTAGTAAAAACGTTTGTCTACTAGTGTGAGACTATACTAGTAGCTACTCTTTAAACGGTGTATGATAGTCAATAGTCATTTGTACTCAGATTTGTTGAACATGCTGCATATTATTTGTAAATATGCTACTCCCCTTTTAATGTAAATTCTCTGGTGTAGCATTTATAAGGATGTAAGCAATCGATTGCTTATGATTACATATGATATTATGGCCGAGAGCAATCTTAAAGTTTCAAAGTAGGAGTGAGTAACTTTTTGTAGACACTTGTGAATTTCCATAGAAACCAAGATAACTGACATAAAAAAGACTATATTTGGAAGAATTCTAAGTGTCTGGAATTTCCCTTCATCGTTTCTCTAATTGTATCATCCTGCCCCACTCTATCATAATATTTCTCTTCCACTATTCATCATGAGGGCATTTTTGGTAGTAGACATCAGTGTGGCAATGTCTAGGGGTGTGTGTGTGTTTAAAGATGTGTTTTTGTGAGTGGAATGGTAAATATACATTAACAAAGCAAGAGACTATGTTCCAAAGACTTGCAGCATTCACGTAACACTTACTGAGCACCTAGTAAGTACCAGGTACCATGCGTTGTAGATTGAGTTAAATTCCTATAGGGTAGTCCCTGACTTACATGGTGTTCTGTTCCCATGACTCCATCATAAGTCGGTTCTGATGTAAGTCGAGTATCTTTGTCTTTTCTTTTTTTACTTTTCATTATTATTGCCTTTTATTATCAGTATTTTTATAAATCTTATCTTTGCGGGTTGGCACGAGAATGATAACATCAGCAAATTGTGCACTACGGCATTGTATGTAGTACATGTTACTAATGATCCAAAAAAAAAAAAGAAAAAAACCCAAACCCGTTGCTTTCGAGTGAATTCCGACTCATAGAGACCCTGTAGGACAGAGCAGAACTGCCCAATAGAGTTTCCAAGGAGCGCCTGGTGGATTCAGCTGCCGACCTTTTTGGTTAGCAGCCGTAGCACTTAACCACTACGCCACCAGGGTTTCCATTACTAATGATAAGATGTACAAGAAAAAAAAGAAAAAGGATGGTCTTAAGTGCGGTTTGTCATAACACGGATACGTCATAAGTTGGGGGTGGCTTCTATTGTCATATATATTACCATTGCCATCGAGTCGATTCTGACTCATAGTGACCCTATAGGACAGAGTAGACCTGCCTCACAGGGTTTCCAAGGAGAAGCTGGTGGATTTGAACTGCCGACCTTTTGGTTAGCAGCCGTACTCTCAACCACTGCGTCACCAGGAGTCCTTAGATATTACATATATGTGGAACTATTGTAACACTTTGTGAACTGGAATAAATTGGGTCCTGCCATTTATGTGTATGTTTTTAATAAAGGTTTAGTGAAGTTATGCACCTATGCTGGAATGTGAGCTGTCCACTTCTAGTCCTAAGTACACTGAGGAATTTTCACTGTCCCAACTAAGTCTTGCATCAGGTACTAGGACTGGCACTGAACTGAAGTCCCATAAGCTGGGCCATAAGGACAAGACTATTAGAGGAGAGATCATACAGGTACTTGATAAAAACGAATCAAATAAAACCATAAGCCAAGGACAGAGACTTCAGAAGCTGAGGGAGGGCAAGAAAAACCTTAGTCCTTTTGTGTGGTGTAAGGCTTTCCTTCCTCTGATGCAGATACAGTATGCCCAGTATGATAGCCCCTCATTCCATGCCCCTATTTAAAATAAAATTAATGAAAATTAAAAATTTATTTTCTTAGGTGCACTATCTGCCTTTCAAGTGTTCATTTCAGTGTGGCTGTTGTATTGAATGGTGCAGATAGATTTCTGTCATCGCAGAAAGTTCTAGTGGGTGGCGCTGGTCTAGGTTCTAGACCTAAGAGCTTTCTGACTGAGAGTTTTTTAGCCTAGTTTTTACATATTTGATTCTGGGAGGAAAAGAAGGTCTAATATTCCCTAAGAATTTGTAGTGACTTTAGAGACACTTAGAATTATCAACCATTTCTGCAACTAGACTCACCCTCTGCTAGAGTCCCTGGGTGCTGCAGACAGTTAACTGTTTGACTGCTAGCTGAAAGGTTGGTGGTACGAACGCACCCAGAGGTGCCTTGGAAGACAGGCCTGGCGATCTGCTTCCGAACAGTCGCAGCCTTGAAAACCCGATGGAGCAGTTCTACTCTGCACACATGGGGTCACCATGAATCAGAGTTGACGTGCTGGCAACCAACAACAGCTGATGTGAATATAGTGCCTTTTATGTGACAAACATCGTCCTAAGTGCTTTAACCTAATCGCTTGTTGAATCCTCCTAAGAACTCTATGAGTTTATATTACTGTGGGTTTTTTTTTTTTAAATCTCCATTTTACTTAGTTAGGAACTGAGAAAGGTACCCAAAAAAAAACAAACCCGTTGCTGTCGTGCGGATTCCGACTCATAGTGACCCTATAGGACAGAATAGAACTACCCCATAGAGTTTCCAAGGAGTGGCTGGTGGATTCGAACTGCCTTTTGATTAGCAGTTGAGCTCTTAACCACTATGCCACCAGGGCTGCAGAGAGATTAAGTTGTCCAAGGTCACTGATCAAGTAAGTAGCAGAGTTGAGACTTACAGCCAGGGCATCTGGCAGTAGGGGCTGCGCTCTGCAAATAAGCAAACACAATTGTTTGATGTTCCAACAATGCATAGTTTATTGTTAGTCTTGAGAAACACTTGCTTTTCTTTCTTTCTGGACTGATTTCATAAACTCCTGGCAAGATGGGCTGTTGAATTCTTTAAAGCAATGAAACATGTAGATTTTACGCTGACCCTTGCAAGCCAAACTGGTAGTCAGCAGCACATGTGATTATATACTGACTAATGTTGTAGCTGGAGCCCTGGTGGCACAGTGGTTAAGAGCTTGGCTGTGAACCAAAAGGTCGGCAGTTCGAATCCACCAGTTGCTCCTTGGAAACCCTATAGGGCGGTTCTACTCTGTCCTGTAGGGTTGGTATGAGACTGTCCTGTAGGGTCACTATGGGTCGGAATTGACTTGATGGCAATGGGTAATGTAGCCCATTCAGGGGTGCAGCTACGATGATGCAAGGCCAAAGTCAGAAACAGCATCTGGGACAACATTGTTTCATTATGGGCAGGAGATGGGTGTCAGCCACGCTTAAGACAAAGAGGCAGGAAAACGAATGAGAATGTTGATAACTTTAACCCTGAAGGATGATGTTGTTGGGAGAAGTTTTCCCATAGTTTGACAAAAAATTTAAGGACTGCTGAGATGGAAGACAGAGCTTGTGTGTAAAGTGCATAGCAAATAGTAGACAATTAATACATGTTGGTTCTGCTTCCCATGTCTTTTCTGTTGTAATTTGCGTTGGATTCAGGGAGTCCTCGGTAAATTGGCACTTACTTCAGCTCATTTCCACATGGCACTTTAAGGTGACACGCAGAAACCGCCTTTGTGGATGTCTCCAAAGAGAAGATTAATTTTCCGCTTGGTCTTTGGTTATGCCTGATTTGACTCGGGATATTTTTTTTCCTCCCACATTACTTGGGTCTCGTAAGCGAGAATTCCATTTACTCCTTTTTTATTCTCAGAAAAGGCATTAATATGGATACATTTCTAAAGTCAAGTCAGAGACCCTGTACAAAGTGAAAAGCATTTCTGACTTCTTTCAAAGCTAGCTGAGTCATAACGCTGCCCTGTATAGTTGTTACTGGCTGGCTTCTTGATTCACTGTTCTCGAAAGATTTGCCCCCTGCAGACATCTCTCTGTATGTTGAGTTCTCCTGGTGGTGTCAGTTGAGGCTCAGAACTTAAGTTCCAAAGCCATGTCTAGTCAGTTGCAGGTGACAAGTAAATTTGGGAAGCATCGTTTCATGAAGCCTAAAAACAGAAAAATCACGGATTAGGAATAAATGAAAAAGGATAATTACATTATTGTGGAAGAAGAATCTGTATGACTGAAAACTAAATTGTGGGGGAATGAAATTGTATCTAGAATAGTATATGACACTGATTTAATCTATCTCCTCTATCCCCAAACATAGATGAGTTTTTCTTTAATTTCTTCCTTGAAATAAATTCAGATGTACTTTCTACATTCTATAAATAGCATTTCTTTTTCATTGGGGTTTCCAGAGGCCCACTATTATGTGAAAATAATTCGTTTGCACTGTCGATGTTTTGCAGGTCCTTTGGAAAACATTTTTAGTGCCCTGTGATAGGAGAAATCCCCAACAACTCAGAAT